TTGTAGGGAGGTGTGTTGTTTTGTATTTTCCTTATAGAACAATTCTAGTTCCTTTTCCATATACTTCTTATATTCTTTCTCTTTCATTACCTGTAAATTCATTGTCCATCTGTTTTTCTTTCTCTGGTGCCCCTTCCAGGTCATCATTAACGGGTTATGATCTGCCCAATCGTTTGATAAGATTTCTACCATTTCTATCTCTCTCATTAACATACCAGATACCCATGCCATGTCTACCCTGGACCAGGACTTATGTGGATTCGAGTAATATGTGAAATTCTTGATTTCAGGATTATAAAACCTCCAGCTATCTATCATGTTTAACTCTTCAACCATTTCTGTAAAGGTTCTAGGTAATATATTTTTCCTATGTTTATTTTGCTGGTCAGATTTATAATCTTTTTTGACATCCGAAATGGCATTAAAATCTCCAATTAAACATACATTTTCCATTTTTTGCTCTATGATTTTTTCATGTACTTTTTTGTAGAATTCTAATTGTTTGCTATTTGGTGCATATATCGCAACCAATAATATATTTTTGAAGTCAAGTTTTAACTCTATCATCACAATTCTACCTTCAGTGTCTGTATATCTTATATTACTATCTATCCCTTCCTTAATATATACCACTACTCCTCTTTTTTTTTCTTCTGCCAGTGATGCATATGTTATTCCTAATTTCTTATATTGTATGTAATTTATGTCTTGTTTTCTTATGTGTACCTCCTGGAGACATACTATGTCAGACTTTTGTTTCAGAATTTTTTAAAAATTTGGTGTCGTTTAGATGGTGAGTTGAGGCCATTTACGTTTACTGATAGAATTCTTAAAGTTCTTTCCATGTCTTACTGACTTTCCTGTTGTTTCTTCTTTGCTTCTTCTAATTCCTTTTTTTGCCTCTTGTTTGTACTCCTCCTTCCTCCTGAGTCTCTCCTTCCTCCTCTTTCCCTCCCTGTGGTGAGGTTCTTTCACGTTCCTGACTCTGTTTTCCTTTAATGCTTCTTCCTCCCTCCTCTCTGCTGCCATTTGTTATCTCACTGGCCATCATTTGGTCATATAGTTTCCTTGCTTTACTCTGCGAATCCACCTTTATTTTCCTTCCCTGCCATGTTACCAACATTCCCTTGGGTATTGTCCATTTGAAAGGTATATATCTCCTGTTTAGCAACGTGGCCAGGAACCAGTAATCTTTCCGCAAGTCTCTTATTCTCTTAGGAATTTGTTTCAAAGTTATTATTTCTTTATTCTTGTAAAGCATGGGTTCGTCCTTTGTTATTTTATAAACGATATCTCTCACCTTTCTTCTCACGAATCTTATGTGTACCTCCCGTGGAAGTTTGTGTTGTCGGGCGTAGTTTGTGTGTACGCGGTACACTTCATTTAATTCATTTATTATTTCTTCCCTTTCTCTTTGGAGAGCCTCAGCTATCATCTCCGCCATTATCATTGTCAAATCTTCTCTTTCTTCGGCTACATTTTGAAAACGCAGAAAGAATGCCGCCTTTTCCATCTCCAGCTGGGCTACTGTGTTCTCAAACTCTTTATTTAATCCCGTCATTTTTGTGTCCAATGCTTCCAACTTTTCTTCTGTCAATTCAGTTTTTTGTTCTATTTCTTTTATCTTTTGATCATTTCTTTGGATAATTTCTTGGATCAGGTCCATTTTTTCATCAATCTTTTGGATGTTGTTCTTAACTTCCTTCTTTACCTCATCCATATCTTTCCTAGATTGTTCATGGTTTCTGGTCATGCACTATTGCATTTTGACCATTGTTTCTTGTATTGACATTAAAGTAGCTTGCATTGTTGGCTGACTAGGTGTGCTGGGTTGTTTTTCTGATACAAACATTCCCTCTAGGGTTTTCTGTGACACTGGTGAAGCCGATGGTCCAGCTAAGATTGATGTCATTTTCTTCGCAGTCTTCAACATTGTTGTGGTGGTGCTTGTCATCTCTTTCAGAATTCTATATTGTTCCACCAGTATTTTATCAACTTTCTCCTAAATCACCATCCAACTTTTATCTAATTTCTTTCTTTTCCTTTCCTTTTCACTTGTAGAAAATTCAATTCAATAGTCTCTCATTTACTCTACCTATTTTCTTTAAATTAGATTACTTTAACTAATTGTCTCTTATAAGATACTTTGTAAAAAATGCAATAAAAATATATAATATAGATATTACATAATATCTATATTATATATAGATATTATATTATAGAATTATATTATTAATATAAGTTAATCTAAATAGCTAATATAAATATAAGTAGATAAATATAAATAGATATAAATAGATATAAATATAGATATATAAAAATAGATAATCACAGGCTTTGCAAAGTAATTAATTCAATTAGTTCCCACTATTTCCTTCTAAAGCACTACAATTATTATAAATCCTAATTTATTATATACTATATACTGTATGTACTATTATATACTATATACTAATTTATTTATTAATAAACACAAGTATCACTATGATTCTTAATTCTGATATATATCAATAACAAAGCAATTATCTATGTTTTTTTAAAAAAAGAAAGAAAAGAGGATTATATAAGAGTAATATATTTCAATGACTTTCTATGACTTTTATAAGTCTTTTTCGTCATAATTTCAACAAAAGAGAGGTCTTTCCTGTTCCAATATGGCGATCTCCAATCTGCACAGTCACAGTCCACAATTTATTCTTTGCCAAAATACCTCTCTCCTTCTCTTAGAGCAGCCAAAAAAGGGAGGATATAAGAAATGTTCGTTTTCTTTAAGTCTTTAAATCTCTGTACTTCAAATCCACCTCTCCTCACCTTCGTCTTCACTGTTTAAAGTCTTTCTCCGCTTGTCTCTGTCTCGTCCTCTCCCTTTCTGCTCACCTCCTCAGTTGCCGCCCCTTTACGCTCTGAGATCTTCTCTTCCATGCTGCTCCTCCGGAAAAATTATTTCCTCCTCGTTTTTGCGCCAAAATACTCCAAAATACTCCAAACGATCCTCGTTTGCTCACCCTTGGCAGTTTTGCACTGTACTCACTCCTCCGCTTCCCCGCTGGTCTCAATTGGCTTGTCGGGCCTCCGGGCCAGCTGCGCTCGTCAGCTAGCTTCTTCCCGAGCCTGGATTGAGGGATCTTCTCGGTACGGCGGGAGATCGCACCTCTCCTCGCCTCCCCCGAAGTTTCCCCTCTCTATTCCCGATCTCTCCAAGATCGGTCTTCGCCAAATAAGGCACCAAAAGCTCGGAAAACCAGCAACAGAGAGAGAGCGCTTCTCTCCTGTGCTGCTACAGCCCTACGTCACCGCCGGAAGTCCGGGCTGTTAATTTAACTTCATTAACAGCCAAAAAGAATTCAAAGAATAATAACTCAGTTCTGAGGCACAGTATTTCAGATTACCATAATCTTACCGTGGTTGGCAGAATGCCCAGAAGCAATTTGCAGGAAAACTGATAAGAGAGAAACAAGACCCAAATCAAACGTTTTCTGTAATCAAGACACGAAAGAATTTGAATGAAGTTGTTTCCTAGAAATTGCATCAGTCGTCGTCCTTCCTTAAATAGGCTAGGGGAGTGGCCAATTAGCCCCAAGCCTTACTCTCAAGAAGACCTCCTCCTGAGGAGCCACTCTTGCCTTTTCACAGCTCTGCACGCTCGTGCATTGAGAAGAGGCTCCTCCTCTTCTTACTCTTCACTTATGGGAGCTTCTGGTGATTCTGAAGGCCCTGGTTGAATCCCTGCCTCTGGCACCAGCCTCCTCATTGTCCGACTCGAGTGCCAACTGCACAGGCTGCTGGCGCAGCACTATATCAGCCTCCTCGCTGTCAGAATCAGCTGCTAACTGCACAGGCCGCTGACGGGCCACAACACTGACTGAGGAATTCTGGGAGTTGTAATCCACAGGTCTTAAAGTTGCCAAGGTTAGAGACCCATGAGTTGTTATGTAGTTTCTATGGGTTGTTCCCTTGGAATCACTTATTATAAATATTTCAAGCAAAAAGTGAGTGACTCACCAGCTTTCCCCCCAGTCCAAATATAGCTACCTAATACAGGTGAAGGAATAGACAATATTCAAAGTACGTAGTTGATCCAGCTCTAATTTTACAGCCCTAAAGGCACAATACAATTCCACAGTACAATTTGTAGTATAAACATTCAAGAGACATCAGTCTTTACTTCAAATGTTTTTTTTAAAAATATAAATATCTAGTAATGGTGTATTAAAATATTACCTCTCCAGGGGTGCCTGCGGGGATGGAAAAATAACATAAGTCAAGATGGCAGTCACAGCGTTACATAGATATACAATGGAATAAGGCTTCAATCCCATGGTTTATTGCCATCTTGACTTCTTTGACCTTTCTTCCTCATAATTTGAATTTTCTTTCTTGAAATCAGTGACATTATTACTGAAACACTATCAGAAATCATGACCAAATCAATGTAATACTTTTTAACTAGACTAACTATGGACTGAAAAATTAATAATCCTAATGTAATCATGTACTATACAGGATTTATAAGGTAAAGTTTTAGTTAAAAATATTGTGTCTCTATATCAACTAGGTTAAATATCTTCATATTGCATCAATTTACCTCTGAATATTAACTTATTTTTTAAAATTTCATTTCAATTGATTATGGATCCATGACTGAAAATCCCTACTAGCAATTACAGTATGTGACCTGCTTGCAAGTAAAAAAAAGTTATGGCAAAGCAGTTACATGAAATATTTGGCTTATTTCTAGTTGAACCATAAAATTTGTTTTTTTTACCCAGGCCATCCAACTTCCTCCGTTATGAACCATGATAATATAATAGCCATTGTGAACAAATGTTATTGTGAAACTTTTCTTGATTAACATTGCCACCCTTCTGGACACAATCAAATTTCCATTTATGTAAATCTGATCCATCCATTTTCTAGACAAAATGCTTTTTAAAAAGAAAAATATATATTTCTTGCCAATCAATTACTAGAATTATGTTATCCCTCTGTCCCTCACTTACTTCTTGCCCAACTGGCGGGCCACATCACAGTGCTTGAATCCTTCAAGATTGTAGAGCCTTTTAGCCAATCTTTTGGCAGCCTCACTGTGTGCCTTGCAGCCATTGATAAGAATGTCCGTGCTTCCCTGGTCAAGTTGTTCTGTGCTGCCCATATCAGAATCTGAATCCGAAAGGCCATCTTTTATGTTGGCATCACTAGAACAACAAAAAATATTTTTAATAAGTGGCAACTGTGCTCAAATGTTAAATATCTGGGAAACCCAAAATTGCATCTTCTTCCTGTTCTTCAAATAAAAGGTATCAGATTTTTAAATCTATTGTTCTCTGATATTTTGACATTTTTTTTCATTAATGTTAGTTTTGTATTTGTTACCTTTAAAGCTAATTTTGGACATTGATGCTGTGTTTTGTGTGAGTTTAAGAGTGGAAACAGGAGTAAGACAAACAACTCTCATTCTCAACTTTAACCCCACCAACCCTACAGTAGCACAAGTAATCCTTAAAAATGACAATATGGTTCCTTTGGGAGCTTGATGATCAGAAGCCTCCAGGTCAGCGGTGGGTTGCCCCTGGTTCGGACCAGTTTGCAAGAACCAGTAGTAAAACCGGTGGGAGGCTCTGCCCACTGACCCGGTCGTCGTCAGGAAGCTTCTGCACATGCGCAGAAGTGTGTGTACATGCACGAGCGAAGCAAGCGCATGCGGGGTCTTGTTGCAAACCTGTAGCAAAGGTAAGTAGAACCCACCCCTCCTCCAGGTCCTGCTTCCACCCTTAAAAACCCTTCTCATAACATCATCATGACATTGAACAGTCTCTTCTTGGAAGGTCAGGTGTGTCATCTGCAGTCTTGAAATCTTGAAACATTACTAACGAACAATGCAACTTGCCACTCTGTTTGTCAGTTAAAAGAAATGGGAGAGCTCTTCCTTCTTTCAGTCTTGCCCCTATAATTGGTTGAGGAGAGGAATATAAGGGGCTGGCAGTGAATCCAACTGAGAGCAGGGGTTGGGTGGGGCTAGTTCAGTAACAGAGAAGTCTGACAATTATCCAACTCTATTGTAAAACATCTGATAAATGCATTTTAATGCTAATGGCAATAATGATTGTCTAAAGCAAGAGATTTTGCAGAGTCTGCAACGTCACCATGTGGCCAACCTTCCTTCAGCTGTTGAACAGTCTTTATCCTGCACTTTTAAAACTTTATTTTTTAAAATAAATAGAGCATCCATCTTAGCAGTCAGCAGCTCAGCAGAAAATAGGTGCCCAGGGCAGTAACCAAGCCCAAGGGAAGAGGCATGGCAAGCGGATGCAGCCAGTCACAGCTGTGGCTATTAACTAAATTAGAATGAAGCACTGGAAACAATCTGCTCTGAAGGGTGGAAGGTGGCTTGGATTATTTTTGAATTGTTGCTAGAAAAGACATGTTGAAAATGGAGTAGGAAAAGAGAATGAGGTGCATTCCTGCACTCCAGAAGAGATGAGTAACACTTACTGTATTGGCAACAACCTAAGTGAGATGTGCGGATATGTTCAAAGTGTAAAAGGTAGAAAAGAATTTTTTTTATAATTCTATTAGCCTATTATTATTAAGATAATTAGTAAATTGGTACTTTGACCTGACTGTGGCTGACTTTCAGATATTTTTAAACATGTCCTATATTCTATTAATTCTCTTTACCAACTCTTGGGATTTAGCCTGCTTTCTTGATCTAGATTTTGCATTGACTTTCAGCATGCATGTTCTACATTTAAAAGTGGAAGATAATGAGACTGATATATTTGTACGGTACAAAAGGAATCCACAAATATCCTAAAAATAAATTTGTATTGCTTGCCATGCTGGTATGCTATAAATTTAGGCTTTCAACTCTACATATCTTGTTTGGTAAATCATTAAGATTTGATTATAAAAATAATTAATACATATTAAATTTCAGAAATCTCAATTAGGAGACTGGATACAATAGGCAAAGCTCCCATTGTAGTTCCATCATTTGCATAATAGCATTCCAATAATGACATCACCCCAGATGACATTTGTGGGTAGATGTATATTTGATAAACTGAGGTTTCACTGTATTATCTTTTTCATTTTACTTGAAAGACTTTGAGGAAATTGAAAACAAATTCACACTGGCCTTTAACATTTAATTCCAGAGTAGCTCTGTTGACCCTTTTTCCCATATAAAAACACTGCCACACAAGGATTGAATACAGTTCTGGTTCTTATTTATTTGTCAGAGTTTTATCATGTCTTTCATCTAGAACAGTGGTTCCCAAACTATTTCCTTCATTACTGAAAACTCCTCACTAGAAAGTTCTTATTTATATTCTCCTGATGTAAGTTGTTTAACTAGTTTGATATAGTAGTTAAGGCACTAGACTAGAAACTGGCAGACCATGAATTCTAGGCCTGTCTTAGCCATGAAAGCCGGCTGGGTGACTCTGTCACTCTCTCAGCTCAACCCACCTCACAGGTTTGTTGTTGGAGAAATAGGAGAAGGAAGGTGTGTTAAAATACAGTATGTTCACTGCCTTATTTGTGAAAATAAAGGTGGGATAGAAATAAATAAAATATGTCATTACCACCCCAAAAAACCACTTTTACTCAATTTTGGGTAATTTTCCCAGGTTTGGAAAGCAGTGCTGGGACCTGCAAGTTTTAGTCCAAAATCCTAATTTGTAAAAAATCCCTGGCTACAAGCTTTACTCCAGGAAAACACTTGAAAGCTTTTCCTTTTATCAATAGTGTTTAAAAGTATAGAACACTTACACAGAAGCAAAGCATCCTGAATAATAGTTTAAATAAATATTGTTTTATTTATTTGTGCTATGGTTTTTCTTTTGAGTAATTGAAAGTAAACTCATAAGAGAGAATCTCCTTTTATATAGATATATTTTGGATGGCACTATTAAAAGTAGAAAAACAATTAAATATTGTCTCTCAAGAGTAAAATGCATTTCTATATACTCTCAAAACAGGTTTTTCATTTAAATTCATCATCTATATGTATATTCATTAACCAGTTAACAATATTCACTGTAGGTAATTTAGTAATTTTTTTAAAAAAAAAGCTTGCCCCATACCTGTTATGTACTGTAATAAATATGTAAATTATATATAATTAAAATGTTTAATAAAGCAGGCTTAAATTGAATTGCTGACTTAAATTGATGGTGTGTGCTACACATAATGACCAAAACTGCCTTTTTATAGATAATTTTCATATAACAATTTGATGAAATCCAGGTAACATAAAATTCATCCAAATCCCATAAATGTTCCTAGAAGAGTTGAATTTGTCTGTGCATATAAACAGATACATAAAAATATATGTTCTATAGATTCAATAATACTTAAAATAAAGTTATTTAGGTCCAGGAAGAATATTTTAGTTCACCATCTTTCTAAAACTGCTGACAAAAGAATATGAAAAAACTCACAGGAAAAAAATAAGAGAATTGTAGAACAATTTGCTATTTTAAATCTCTGACTCCAACTTTTACAACACTCAAAAACCTGAAATCTTTTCCTTCCCCCACTTTTTTTAGTGCAGTTTAAAAAAAAAAAATTCCCCCCTTTTGGCTCCTATAATTTTGTCTAACATTGAGTGTTTGGAAAATAACAAACCAATATTTGGTCAATCAATTTCAGGTTCAATCCACTTTTTTTTATAATGGCTTTATGAAGCTGACTGTGGAAGAAATCCTTAATTATACATGGAGATAACACTTTCATGTTTCCTTAACTTTGCATGCCTGTCATTTGTCATTAACTGAGCAATGTGTTATATGCAATGCAGTGAGACGTGTGCAGATCTGTATATTGGTGAACCAAAGCAACCACTTCACAAGGGCATGGCACAACATAGGAAATCTAATCCATCAAGACAAGAGTCAGCAGTCCATCTGCATTTGAATGATAGTGGTCACTCTTTTGAAGATAGTAAACTCCACATTTTGGATAGAGAGAACCATTGGTTTGAAAGAGGGGTAAAAAGGGCCATTTATGTTAACATTGAGTAGCTGTAGGCTGTTCCAAAAAGATTCCACATCTCTGACTCAGATGACCCTGAGATCAGAGATAAAACCCCAAGTAATCACAACAGCTCTCAGAGTGTGTTAAGACCAGTTGACTGCAAAGAAAATGCAATCTTTCCATTCCCACCCCTCCAGCAACTACTCTCAGCTGTCAATAATTGTCCTTCCATCTCCCACACCATCCAACTGCAACTGATGCAACTTCCAAGATAGGAAGTGAAACGTCTACTTTTTCCTCAAAAAATCAGTTCAGTTGCCTTTTAAAAAATAAAACCACTTTTGATATAGCTTGCAAATTTCAGGAGTTAAAGATTATTTGCTTTGCCTTAATATGTATATATACATATTATATATATATAATATTATGGAAATAATTAGGGCTACCAATCCAAAAATGTATTTAAAGTATTGATTAAATATAAATACTGTTAAATGTTACCACAACTTTTATATAGTAACAGTACAAAGATTACTGAAAGTCTAAGATAATAGTTTAATCATCCAAAAGTACAAAACAACTTTTGAAGGGAAAAGAATGGTTAACATGGATAGAAGAACACAGAGACAATGACAATGAGTACAGATATGAAATTGCTTAAACAAGCAATTTTCAGCCCTACTGATTAGACTTAGTCCCATCCAACAGTAAATCAACAGAAGCTATCATTCCCACTAATTAATTTACCAGTGAATCAATTAAAACTAGTATTGTGTATGTATCATTACCATTGGTATTACCAAAACTATCACTGCTACTGTTGCCTTAGCTATTATGAATAGCAATAAGAGAAAGACTATGCAATGCAGAAAACTTAATGGATTTATTAAATGCAGTTAAATAACAGCTATAGTCTGAGTAAAGCAAATTACCTGATTGAATTACTAAATTTTGGAAGCTTTTCTTCTGACCGTTCCATGTGATAGCCATTAGGAATATTTTTCAGTGATACTTGGCTCAGCACATTCTCAGACTGGCTGCTAGTGATGGAGTGCTGCAAGGGACTCCCCAAATTACCATCCATAACCCTGGCCATCATTTCACCCTGTTTCTCTGTTGCCCTGGGCTCCAGACTTTCCTTCTGGTTAGTGAGGAATTTCTGTTCTGAAAGTTCAGAACTTTCTTTGGTTCTTTGCTGAATAAGAGGTGTGAGCGGAGCTTCAAAGCTAACACAGCTGTCTGTCTCATCTGTAAGGGAGAGCACATCCAAGGAGTCCAGGCTGCTGTAGTATGTGCCCTTCATAAGGTCAGATTCCACAATTTTTTCAAAAGTAGAACTGAATCCATCCCTGATGTCTTTAAATGCAAAATCTTCCCTGTCGTAACTGCTGCAATGGAGCTTAGATTCTGCAACAATTAAGCTGAAATGGAAGGACATATTAGATCAGTTAAAAATTTGTGCACAATAGATGTTATTTTTGTAGACTTTAAGGAGGTAATTTAGAACAAAACATTGCAATTGCAAAGAAATAATATAATTCAATATTTGCAGTTAATCTCTTTATTTTTGCAATAATTTAAATCTAAATCCATTTTATAGTAGCACAGCTAAATTACTATTGCTAATGATTTCTTCTCTATTTTCAAGAATGGAAAAGAGAAACAGAGTGCTTGATTTCTTAAAAATTTCTACAAGATGCTGAAGAGGCAAAATGTTGTCCATGAAGGGTGGCCACTGACCATAAGAAATAGTTGGATACTTAGAAAAATAATCCAATGTAGCTCTTTCTAAATCTGTTTTGATTTAGATTTGAATCATAAATAAGAGATTCGTATGTGCCCAACTTTTTGTTGTTCAGGAAATCATTAAAGACCCAATTGTTCTGCCAGATGTTGGGAAAAAGTGATTGTAAAGTCCCTTTTTATTCTGGTATTTTTGCTTTTCCAGTTAGTTGCATTCTTTATATGTTTTCTTTAAATGTCAGAACCCAGAGTTGTTTAGGAGGTGGGTGACCTATAAATTAAGTAAATAAAACTTGGGAAATTGAAGCATTCTATCTCCCAGAAGTAGTTTAAGAGATCTCAGTGTTTTATCAGAGGGGCAAAATATTTGCATCATGCATTACAGAATCAACATTGTATATCAATATAAAATATACTGAATTAGTAAAGTGTTTCTAACTTTCCAGTTAAAGAAGAAAGGGTGGGGAGTCTTTTAATTTGTTTTAAAACCATATGCCACTTGTTTTTGTTGCTATTTGTTTAATAACATATGTTATTTCCTGGCATAGTTGCCTTTTCAGTGGGAATTAATTGTGACCAGCTTCAGGGAGCCCCCGATGCTCCATTTCCTAAGGCACATGGATCAGGCTCTCAAATCTATTCCTTTCTACACTCCCCAAGAAAAATGAAAAGCATGGGACTGGGTGAACATTTGGAAAGCATCTTTCATAATATTCTTCTAACAATTCCCATAAACCAGAATTAGTGCTTAAACAGTTTTAATGCAACCCCCTGGTCCTGAGACTAGATCTGATACTTAACAGAGAAATCTATATTAGCCTATGACCTTCAAAGAGTTTACAATAATTTCTCTTAGAATTCCTGTCCAAGATAGCAGAGGTTCATAGTCTAAGAAGGCATCTAGTGACACTCTATAAGTGTTCCCTAGTTAATGGTCTCCCCTTTCAGTCACTGCAAAAAGATACTTTTAAACTAATAGTAGCTACCAAATTCTTGCTTTCTTAGGATTATTCTAACATGACAAGGAATTTAGAAGAATTACTGAAAAATAAGAATTAATTTCAGTAATAAATGAATGCTAAACTCTGCTGTTCCTTGGCATGAAAAAGAATTCCACGATGAAGCCTTCTGATAATATATTCTAGAACTTTAATCCTACCAGATCACTGGAAAGATTTTTATTTATTTATTTTATTTTATTTTATTTTATTTCTATACCGCCCTTCTCCTGCGGGACTCAGGGTGGTGTACAGCCAAGATAAAACATTGCATATAAAATTTAAAAACAATTTAAAAAACAATTAAATAATTTCGGCCCAAGATTTAAAAACAACCCAATTAAAACCGAATTCAATTAAAACTGAGAGGATGGGATCAAGCCAGCCCGGCTAGATGGAATAGGTGTGTTTTCAGGGCCCGACGAAAAGTCCAGAGGTCTGATATCGTGCGTATCTCAGGGGGTAGGTCATTCCAGAGGGCAGGTGCTGCCACAGAGAAGGCTCTCCCCCTGGGGGTCGCCAGCCGGCACTGTCTGGCCGACGGCATCCTGAGGAGGCCCTCTCTGTGTGAGCGAACCGGTCGGTGGGAGGCTATTGGCGGCAGAAGGCGGCCTCGCAGATACCCCGGCCCTAAGCCATGGAGCGCTTTAAAGGTGGTCACCAACACCTTGAAGCGCACCTGGAAGATCACAGGAAGCCAGTGCAGCTCGCACAGGAGAGGTGTCATATGTGAGTGCCCCATCGCTCCCATAATCCCCCACATGGCCGCATTCTGGACTAACTGTAGCCTCCGGGTGCACCCCAAGGGGAGCCCCATGTAGAGATGAATGGTATCATAGCAGAAACTGCTTCTCTTCCTTTAAAGGTAAATCATGGTTTCCCTATTTGTTACCTTATGTGCTCTTCTCCATCCTCAGGATAAAACAGTTCAGTAACATCCCGACATGATTGCAAACCATAATTGTTTCTTCTATCATTGAGAAACAACTCATTTGCCAAGATGTTCTCTTTGAAAGCAACACTGCCAGTCCTTGGAGTGGATGGAGTTTGTGCTCTGTCTTTATTGTTCTCTGTACCAGGCTTTGATTCAGCAGGTAACCCATTTGTGTGCATTATGCTGCTGGTGCTGTCACTGTTGGTTCCTAATTGTTCTTGCTGACCATTGCTCTTCTGCATACTCATCTCCTGCCACACATCTATTTCCACTTCCTGATGTTTGCTTGCATTACCCAGGCAGTCATCATCTGTCTGGGTTCTGTTCTCCATTGCTCTGAAAGACTCGGCATCATTCTGAATACTGGGTGTGATAGCTGGAGCATCCGTAGGCTCTGTAAATTGCTCCCTCTCATTAGACACGATCATGGCTAGTTGAAACCTGGAGATATTTGATTCATTACACTCTGCAGTTGGCAGTGGAGTATTTCCACTCATCTTCAACTGATTGTAACTTGTCCTGGGTTCCTCTGCCTTTTTTCTTGATTGTGACCCTGTAGCCTGTGGTGACAAGAAAATAGAAAATTACTTTAATCTGTTACAAAGTGATATTAAAAAACTCAATTTCTTAAAATAATGGTAACATAAAATAGTGGTAACATGTTAAAACATTAAAAGATATAAATCTGCCAACTGTGGACACTCCTGCAGATGATGAGATACTTTAGCTCACAGCAAAATAATTGCTTATTGTAATTATCCTTCACAGAGTTCTAATGTCTCACAAAATTAATAACAAGTTTGGATATACAAGCTGGATGTTGACAATTAATTATTAAAAGTTAAAAACAGTAGCAAGGGGAAAAAAGCACAGCAGGTAAAAAATTAAGGTGGTTCAGTATTTCAGTTTGAAAGTCAAAAAGATGCTTTGGTGCACAGGGGACACAAACGTAACCCTTGACTACATCTCCTTAAAGCAGCCGTGCCTTTTCCCAGGATCAAGCAAAATGGGATTTGCTCTAAAGAGTTGCAGAGAAGTTCTCCATTTGTGTCTCTACACCTTCTAAGGCCTTCAAATCCCAGAGTTGTGGACATTTTCAAGAAACAATTGGACAACCATTTTCTCAAGATGGTATGGGCAGGGGGTAGAATTAGAAGACCTTTAAGGTCCCTTCCAGTCCTATGACTTATGTCCAAATGACTAATTCTTTGGTCTTCTCTTCATTGAACCTTCTTCTCAGACCAGAATGCCCTGACAATAATAACTTATGCTTTATTCACCATTTAGTTGGACTATTGAAACAAGCTGTATGTGAGCTGCCTTTGGAGATAATTCTGAAGCTAGAGCCAGTACAGAATGCAGCATTTATATTTTTCATTTTTTTCATTTTCATTTTTATTAGATTTATATACCGCCCTACTCCTGAAGGACTCAGGGCGGTGAACAGCCAGAAAGATAAAACACACAAACTACAAAATTTAAAAGACAATATAAAAACCCATTAAATAATTTGGCCTAAAACAATTTAAAACACCCCTAATATTTTAAAACCAATTTTAAAAGTTACAATTAAAAGGGAAGTTAGGCCAGGTCAGCCTGTTGAAATAAATAGGTCTTGAGGGCACGGCGGAAGGTGCGTAAATCCGGGATCCTCCGTATCTCTGGGGGGAGCTCATTCCAGATAGCAGGTGCCCCCACAGAGAAGGCTCTCCCCCTGGGGGCTGCCAGTCGACACTGTTTGGCCGACAGCACCCTGAGGAGCCCCTCTCTATGTGCACGTACTGGCCGGTGAGAGGCTACTGGTGGCAGAAAGCGGTCCCGTAAGTACCCTGGTCCCAAGCCATGAAGCGCTCTAAAGGTGGTAACCAAAACCTTGAAGTGCACCCGGAAGACCACCGGGAGCCAGTGCAGCTTGCGCAGGAGAGGTGTCACATGGGAATGCCACGTCACTCCCATAACCACCCGCGTGGCCGCACTCTGAACCAGCTGGAGCCTCCGGGTGCTCCGCAAGGGGAGCCCCATGTAGACAGCATTACAGTAGTCCAGGCAGGAAGTGACGAGGGCATGAGTGACCATATGTAAGGAGTCCCGATCCAGAAAGGGACACAACTGGCGTATCAGGTGGACCTGATAGAAAGTCTTCCTGGCCACAGCAGTCAAGTGCTCTTCTAAAGACAGCGGTGACTCCAGGAGGACGCCCAAGTTGCGAGCCCTCTCCATGGGGGCCAATGACTCACCCCCAATAGTCAGTGATGGCACCAACTGACTATATCGGGACACTGGAAACCACAGCCACTCAGTCTTGGATGGGTTGAGCCTGAGTCTCAGGAATGCCGTGCGAGATGCAATCAAAACACAGCTACAGCCTTATTTAGCTCTTTTTGGCACGCTGGTTTATTCGCATCCGCATCCGGCTACACACTGTGATTCGTAAACACGATTGAAATCGGCGCTACGTTACACCAAGAATGGGGCGTTTATATAGCCCATCTTTCCATTAACTCATTAGGACCGCGCCCTTGTTTGTTACTACGCCCCTCATTTAGGGGCGTAGACCGCGCCCTTGTTTATTACCACGCCCCTCTTTTAGGGGCGTAATTGGTCTTCAGCGTGTTCTGGAAGGTGCTGCCGCTGTGTCCTCCGGAACGGCCCTAATCCCGTCGCACCTGATACCACCACCCCACACCCCGCATACGGCCGCCTTCACCCAGTGCCACCACCACCAAGTATGTATATGTCCCTCGATGCTTTCAGCATGCATTAGCGATGTCGAGCAGGTTGCCAGGCTCGACACTGAGTCTGTTTCTCCCTATCCAGATCCGCATGGCCTCCAGGCATCGGGACCTCACTTCAAGAGCATCATTGGGGTGGTCCGGGGTGGAGATATACAGCTGAGTGTCATCAGCGTACTGATGGTACTTCACCCCGAAACCACGGATGATCTCGCCCAGTGGCTTCACATAAATGTTGAACAGAAAGGGTGAGAGGACTGAACCCTGTGGAACCCCACATATAAGGCACCTCGGGGTCGACCACTGCCCCCCTGCCAACACAGACTGTGACCGGTCGGACAGAAAGAAGGAGAACCACCACAGCATGGTGCCCCCCACCCCCAACTCTTCCAACCAGTGCAGCATGGTACCATGGTCGATGGTATCAAAAGCCATTGAGAGATCTAATAGGACCAGGACAGAGGAACAACCCCTGTCCCGAGCCCTCCAGAAATCATCAACCAATGCGACCAATGCCGTTTCCGTGCTGTACCCAGGCCTGAAGCCCGACTGGAACGGATCCAGATAAACCATTTCATCCAGGTACTGGGGAAGCTGTCATGCCACCACGCTCTCAACAACCTTCGCCACAAAGTGAAGGTTGGAGACTGGACGATAGTTTGCTAACACTGCCGGGTCCAGGGAAGGCTTCTTGAGGAGATACCTCACCACCGCCTCTTTGAAGGTGGTGGGAAAGTCACCCTCACTCAATGAAGCATTTATAATCCCCTGGAGCCAGCCTTGTGGCACCTCCCAAGAAGCCAGCACCAACCAGGAGGGACAAGGGTCCAATAAACATGTGGCTGCTCAGTCTACCCAGAATCCTGTCCACGTCTTCAGGAGTCACAGGGTCAAACTCTTCCCAGATAACATTCTCAAGACCTGCCCCCATCATCCCTCCTGAGTCTACCCAGTCAGAGTCCAAGTCTTCTAAAATCTGAGTGATTTTGTCATACAGATACTGCACAAAGTCCTCGGCTCTACCCTCCAAGGGGTCCTCCCACGCTTCCTGGTGGAGCAGGGAGTGGGTCACCCTAAACAGGGTGGCCAGGCGATTATCTGATGATGTAATAAGAGCAGCAAAATAATTACATTTTGCCACTTTTATCGCCACTAGTTAAGTCTTAATATGAGACCTTACCAGTGTTCGGTTGGATTCAGAAAGGTTGGCCCTCCAACTGCTCTCCAGGCATCTTTTCTGGCGCTTCATCTCCCTCAGCTCCTCGGTAAACCAAGGAGCCAGGTGAGACCACACCGGGTCAGAGGCCGCAAAGGCTCGGCCTGATCCAAAGCTCCAGCGGCCGCCTTATCCCAGGCGGCCACTAGGTCTTCAGTCAAGGCGTGAGCCAGAGCCTCAGGGAATGGCCCAAGCTCCATCTGGAACCTATCAGGTTCCATCAGGCACCTGGGGCGGAACCATCTCATTGGTTCTGCCTCCTTGTGGCGGGGTATGGCGATTCGAAGGTCAAAGCGAAGAAGGGAGTGATCTGGCCATGACAAGGGCTCAATCGTTATATCCCCTATCTCAAGATCACTCATCCACTGACCAGAGACAAAAACCAGGTCCAGCATGTTTTCCCCCGTGTGAGTAGGGCCATGAACTTGGGTCAGGTCCATAGCCATCATGGAAGCCATGAACTCCCGAGCTGCCTCAGATGTCTCACCCACAGATGGCAGGTTAAAATCCCCCATGACCATAAGCCTGGGGGTATCAACTGCCACCATGGCTATAACGTTGAGCAGCTTGGGCAGGACTGCTGTCACATGGCAGGGAGCCAGGTACATGATCAGCAAGCCCATCTGTACCCCATGACCCCACTTCACAAGGAGGGACTCACATCCGGCAGTCTGAGGAACAGTGGCCTCCCTCGGCCTAAGACCTTCTTTGATAACAACCGCCACCCCCTCCCCTCCCCTGTGACCTCGGCTGATGAAAGGCGTGAAAACCGGGTGGGCACATTTCGACGAGGGGGACCCCCCTCCTGGCCCAACCAAGTCTCCGTAATACCCACCAGATCCGCTCCCCCCCTTCTGAACAAGATCTCAAATGAGGGGGGCTTTATTTACCATGGACCTGGTGTTGCATAACATCAGCCGAAGGTCCAGGCCCTGAGGATCTGTGCAACCCGGGGAACAGGCAGAGCACTGGGGGCCGGAGCACGCCACCGCTCGAAGACAGCGAGCACGTCCCACAACACGATATGGCCCCCTGCTCCCGCCATATCTGCCCCTCCCACCCACAGTACTGATGGAAAATCCATCATCAGAACAAGCTCTACCCCCTCCTTGACCCCGAGTCCCACACCTCCCATGCCGCACCCCTCAGCCGGACCAGGCCCCCTCCTCGATGGGTTGTCACCCACAGCCCTAGTTCTAATCCAACCCTCCCCCCCGTAACCCCTTAAAAATTTCGCTAACAATTATTAATATAATATATATATATATATTAATATAATATATTATTGGCAGATTGTCCTAGCCAGTCTTGGTAACTAGAGAGAGACTTTCCAAGGTCCTTCTTAATGAGATTTGTTAGGTGTGAACTAGATAACAGACTTTCTCAATGATAGCCCCATTCTTTGGAATACCATCCTTTTCTGAAAGTATGGATGACCCCAACTCTACTTGCATTTTGAAAACAAAGAAAAACTATTTTGTTCCAGTATGTTTTCAGTCCTTCATTGTTTCTTGAAAGTTCATTGTATGTTATTTTTGGATGCTATGGTTCATTTCAGTCCAGATCTTGAATCTGATTGGAAGATGACTGTGATTTTAAAATTGTAGGAAGA